AGAGAAATATTTTCTATGGTCCAGGATCATCTAATAACTTGGTGCTCCCTCTCACAACACCAATTTTTTTCCTTTTTATCCATGCTATTTTCCCTCATTCTTATAACACCTCAAATTTCTAAATTATATATTAATATATTAAACATGGATTAAAGGGAAGGATTAGTGAAAATACTGAAGATTAGGTCAAAATACAAAGGAAGGGTAAAACGATAATCAGCCCAACACGTAACCCTAGGAGGGTAAAATTTAGTAGGAAGTCTCAAATGAGAAAAATAACCCCGGAAATAGATTCAGAACGAAAAATTGAGTGGTTAGGCAAGTTTCTGAAAATTCGATGAATAGTGTTTTTACAGGGTAAAAATACCGCGATATAGTTGCACCGTAAAGCGTGTCGATTTAATTTTGAGCTCTAGGTTTGGATATAAGTTATAAATGGTTTATAGGGCTAGGAAATATGATTTCTGATGGAAATTGATGGAAATTAGTGAGTTTGGAGAAGCGTGCCTACGACGCGCGTAACAGCTTAAATCGGAAATTTCTCCGAACGACCGAAAAACTCCGGATTCATCTAATCAAAGGTAATTAAAGGGCAATGGTTAATGTTAAAAATTAGAGTTTTTAAATAGGTTATGAAATTATGGACGTTTAGTGCATTAGGCGGGAGATTTGAATTAATTTGAAACGCGTGAGGTGGCGGTGGGACCCACCCCACTTAAGTATGACATGCCACATGTGCATTGCCCACCATTCATCGTCTCCTTCCCTCTTCTCTCTTCACAAACCCGTGGTCCCCCCCCCCTTTATGCAAGTTTTTCTTCAAAACTTCTCTCCCTCCTAACTCACTCAATACATCACCAAATCAAGGAAAGTTTGTCATCAAACTTGTTGTAAATCACCATCCAAACACAACCATGGTAGTCTTGAGCCATGAAACTCCCTAGATTTTGAGAAGAAAAAACCCCCCCAAACTCGCGACCCTTTGGTGTAGATTTGCACTCATAGAGTTGTTTGGTTCTCTAATGGTTTAGTATGTTGTGGAGGAGTCCTAGACCAAGCTTTTGAATAAGTTCCATCACATTCTATTGGTTGGATTAATTGATTTAATTTCACGAACCCTAGAGTCATTTTGCATGAATTGATGTAGTTAGAGAGCTCAAATGGAAATTGTGTATTAGATAAATATGTCTTAGAATGATGTTTTGGAGTGATATATGTCATAAAATTTATTGGGAAAAATTGATGATAACTTAGTGAAATTTGAACATGGTTCCATGACTTTGTGAATTTGGATTGGTTATGTAATTGTGTAATTGAGTTGTTGTATGGTTGTATGAGTTAATAATAGGATTGTATGATATGTGGAGTGGTTGGATTGAATTGAGTAATCCTTGGTGTAGGCCTATATACAATTCGGTCATTTAGGGGGATGTAGGGTGTGATGATGCAAAAATTGTGTAATTGATATTGTGTAGTGTTAAATGGTATTTTGAGGTGTTGGGAGGTGGATGTGTGCATGGAAAATAAATAGAAAAATAATTGGAATGTGTTGGAAAGTGCAATTGAGTCTAGAAGGAAATAAATGGCAAAATGAGGTGGTGATGACGTAGGATGTAATTTGGCACCTAAAATGACATTGTGGTAGCCTTAGGATGATAAAGAAAAATGAAAAGAAATAAAGAAAAATAAATTGTAAATTTGCACTATTATGGTCGAACCTTAATTGGTAGGGGAGAAAAATTGACGTTTTGGGACTTTGGTGGGTTTACCGTGTCTTGATGATCCGTATATGGTCATTGTAGGTTGCCTTCAGCGGATTTGAACCCTGAACCGTGAGCTCGGTGGGTTGCCCTTGGTCCCGGACCAAAAGGGTTTGTGGTAAGTATTTTGAATCATGCATTTATGCTTGATAATTGGCATGTAATTGGTGAATGGAAATTAAATTGGGAATGTCCCATGTGTAGGCATTTCTGTTTGTACCTAGCTCGGGGAAGTATTGCATTGGAGCTGTGAGAAGGAGATTAGTAAGGTAATCCCTTGGTACTGGGGTTTGATCCCCGTGTGTGTTCCATCATGGACGTTGAGGGTAGTGGTAGGAAATGTATGTAAATGATATAGGATAACATGTTCATGCATATTTTATGTGTTGTGGTACACAGGATGTACCGTGTCTCTGGCTAGTAGACTGTTTGCCTTCCGGCGTTATGGACTTTCACTGGATAGGTCTCCGTGAGGTAGTTCTAGTTGACCTGGGGTCGTGTTGTGTGATCCGGATAGGAGCACACTAGGAAGTCTCGGGTGGTTATGGATGGAGGGTGCCTTGGTTGATGTTCTGGGAACACTCCTTGGTTTGATACCCGTAGGCTATATGCCGAGGCCAATAGGCTGGACGTTGCGTGGTTTTGGCATTGACCATTTTAGCTTCGTCGTATTTTGTTTCCCTATGCTTCCCTACTTTACTAAACCCCTTGCTTTATCCCATTTTCGACTGTTATGTTATATTGTTTATATGCATCGAAGTGAGCCATGGGGCGAAGTATTCTCCAGAACCTCTGGGTTATTGAGATATATTCGTATATCTCGTCCTATTTTGGGGACTTTATTTCAAGAGGTAACAGTGGTGTCGGGGCGACGGTCAAGAAGCCCGTAGGTTGAGCTAGAGGACTTCTATTTATTTTGCATTTTGGTGGCCAGTGGGCCTAGGATAGACTTAGGGCATGAACATTATATATGGATTTAGGATGATGTATGTTGTCATATTTGTTCATGCCATCTTTTGCCTAAGTCTAGTTGCATATTTATTATGTTTCATTTTGAGGCTTATTTCGTTATGTTGTATTTGGAGAATTTATGGCCTTATGATTTACATTGGAGAATTGTAATTGTAATATTTGGATCTTGTGTAATATTGAAGTATGTAATATGATGAAAGGGAAATAGTCCTATTCTAGGATGTGAATGATGATTTATGATTCAAACAATGCATGTAATTGGACCTTTGTGATTGAAATTAGTTAACTTGAATAGTAAGCATTGATTATGTATTTTGAGCAAATTGAATATAAAATGTGAAGGGTTGTAAGAGCACCAAGGCATTGCTGGTTCTTGTGTGCCACCCATGATTATTAGGTACAAATTGGGGTTAGAGAACACATTTGTAAATATGGGATTTATTGAAAAAACAAAGAAAACTCTGGCGAATTTTCTAGAAATTGACAGAATTTAAACGAATTTTGGGAGAGCATATCTCCCTCCACAGAAGTCCGATAGGGACGTGCCATATGCCAATTTAAATATTGAGATGTCCTCTATCTTGTGTTACAATTTGAGAAGATGCTGGGTTAGAAGTCGGCCTGTAGAAGGCAGAGAGCACGGACTGCTCAATTGGCCACTGCACTTGTGGCTGATCTGGAGCGAGTTTGGGAAAATTATTCTCGCTTCGTTTCTTAGAAAAATTAGGTGTATGATATGTCAAATTGAAGCTTGAGGTGTATAGTTTACTGTATACAAATTTGAGAGTAATTGGTTGAGTGGATTTTCCCAAATAATTGATTGAGTGAAAGCTGTTTGGAGCCGATTTGAGGTTGGCTGGCAGATTTGCTTGTCCAACTTCAAACGGCGATAGTCGGAGCAAATGAGAACTTTATGACTCATGTGATAGCTTCCTAGAAAATTAATTAAGTCTAGAATAACATACTAAAAGATGAGAGGCTTGTAGAATGTGGATTGTCCGCAGAAATTCAAAGACCAAACCATGTTCGGATAGGTAGAAAACATAAAAGTGAGATTTTAGCTAAGTGGGTTTATGGGAAACTCTTAGTGACTTGAGGGAAGTATTTTATGATATCTTGATAGTTTAAATAATTATTCCGTAAAGAGTTTACAGTTACGGTCACAACTTTTATTTATTTCGCTTTTTATTATTTTAAATGCTCGCGTAATAAACGAAAAAAGTTTACTCGCATTTTTGTAAATGAATCGCTGTGATTGTAACTGCACTTAATATCATAATTAATGTTAACAATACCGGTGTACAACGGGCTGTTACGTTTTATGGTATCAGAGCAGTTTTGCTAGGGAACTCTGATTATGTATAACTGTATTTTGTGTTGCATAGCTATCTGTGAACTATTTATTATTAATGTATATGTGACTCCTCAGTGTGGGTCTGATAAGCTCATTCTTGGTGTTACATGTACAGATATCATGAGTAGGGCTCGAGGTCGCCGTGGAACTCGAGGTGCAGGTTATTTAGCACCAGATCCGATTACTGCAGTTCTAAATGCTCTGCAAGTAGGGCCGGCAAAATGGGCTGAGCCCGCCGGGCTGGCCCGCCCCGCCTGCCAAATGGGGCGGGCTGGGTTGAGTCTTTCAACCCACCAGCCCGCCAAACCCGCCCCGCCAAACCCGCCAGCCCATATGGGTCAGCCCGCCAAGTCATTTTTTTTTTTTTTTTTTAGGTTACCCAATTGTTATGTAGCTCCGTATCTTAGATTTCTCTGCTTGCAAGTGGCTTTTTTGAATTGTTGTGGACTGCTCATACAACACTTTGTTACTTGTTTTGTTATTCTATTTTATCCTGATATGATTTTATTTTTTTATTATTATTTTTGGATTGAAAGATGCATATTTATATGCAGATTATTAAACACTGATCTTCTTGGTTTCATAAGCACATTAGGATTTTATACAGATTTTTGTATGCTTTTATGCAGATTTTTTTATGTGATTTTATGCAGAATTTAATTTTTTGTATTTTATTTTTATATTTTTTTTATTTTAGGCGGGCTGGCCCGTAGCCCGCCAGCCCACTCATAAAACGGGCCGGGTTACTCAATTCAACCCATTTTATCAAAACGGGCCGGGGCGGGCCAGCCCATTTTGGGCGGGCTAGTGGCGGGCCGGGGCGGGCTGGCCCATATTGCCAGCCCTATCTGCAAGAGGAGACTGCTGCAAATAGAACAATGACCGAGAACCTGATGAAAAATAATCAGGATATGATGCATGCCTTCATGAATGAGATGAGAGCAGATAGAACTCGGCACAAGAGGAATGACTCTCCTCCACATACGGCTACGGTGACTCCTACACGTACGCCACCTGTTACACCTCATCAGGAAGGGAGTGGGGCTAGTCGTCATTCTGGCGAGACTAGTCACCACACTACTGATCCTACTTATATTCCAAAGCCTTCCGTTGATCCAACTGTTGTTGCTCAGTCTTCTGGGGTTGCGGAGCAGGTATTTGCTGGTACTGATGAGCAGAGGCTCATATCTTTCAGAAAACACAAACCGCCAGCATTTCAGGGGTCAAGGGACCCGAAGGTAATGATTACCTGGTTGATGGGGATGGAGAAAATATTTCAAGTTATCAGGTGCCAGGATCCCCAAAGACTGCTTTATTCTGTTTATATGCTTGAAGGGGATGCCCACGAGTGGTGGTACAACGCATCTCACCCGTTTACTATTCAGGGGGAAGAAATAACTTGGGCTTTATTTGAAAGATTATTTCATGAAGAGTATTTTCCCAGGGATGTTCAGGAAGCCAAGCAAGGCGAATTTGATAAATTGGTATAGGATACCATGACTGTTGATGCTTATGTGGCTAAATTTAATGAATTGGTTAAGTTTGCGAACTACGGGGGTATGCTGCCAACTCTTGAGTTTTTATCTGCCAAATTCTAGAGGGGATTAAATGAGAAGATTGCAAAAAGGATGTCTAATACTGCTGTGAGGAACTTTGCTGACTTAGTGACCCAGTGCAAGAGGGTTGAAACTGTTTATGGCAGGTATCCGAAGTCTAGTTCTGCTATAGAGCAAGAGGTTAGGAGGACATCTGGTCCTTCTGGTAATAATAATAGAGGTGGCTACCATCATAATAACAACAGGGGTAGGAGGTTGCAGGTAAGGCAGCCTCCTGGTCAATTCAAGAAGGGTGATGGTCAAAGGAGCAGTTTTAATGATAGAAATTCTACTCCGCAGTGTGATAAATGTAAGAGGTATCATCGGGGTCCTTGTACTGCGGCTCTGAATTCTTGTTTTAAATGTGGTAAAGTTGGGCATTTTTCCAAGGAGTACTATAGTAATACTGGGTAGGATGCGAATTTGAAGACCTTGCCATCTGCTCCTACGATTGGACGTGTATATACTACTAATGCGCAGCAGACGGAAAAGGCACCAAATTCGGAAAAGGCACCAAATCTGCTCCTTCTGATCGTCTCATGCCTTGCTTTCCTCCTTAGCCAATAGGAATCGTTTATTCTCTGCTGCGCACGCTTCCTCTTGCTTGATTGCTGCACCGCTTATGCTTTATGGAAACTTCTTTCCAACGTTTCCTGCAAAGTGGTCAGAAATATTAAATGAGTGAAGCAGGTGTATTTAATGTTCTAAATCCGTTCCCCTTTTTATATATTTTCCAAAAGATTACGTCACCATCCGTTCCCCACTGTGTTTTTGTGATAAAGATATAAAACATGTGCTTTTAGTGCTAAAGTTGCTCATCAGGTGAGGGAACAGATGGCATTTTGCCATCAAAATGAGCTTAGATGGGCACGAAATTTTCGTCCCATCATTTGCCTACAGGCATTTTTACCCCCAGAATGACACTGTTCTTGCTTTTCTCAAAAAGGTTTTATAATTCAAAATAATTAGATCTTCAATCTAATAATTCTCTTTTAATAAATATTAAATTTCTAAAATTTGAATTTAACGGTTCAATTTCTTACATTAACACCCTTGGATCATATCCAAGTAACATGTGATGATGCAAGCAAGCCCACTTGCCCATATATGTGATCCATAAGGTCCATGACCTAGCCCATGGGCACTAGGCCTCCAGGTCGGGCCGGTTGGGCTCACGGACCTCTGGGCCCTAGGCCCAAAATGCAAAGATCTATTTCTTGGTCTTGTCTCATAAGATCCAAATGTATGCTAGGTACTGCCAGCAAGGTGATATTGGTGTGAGACCCATTAGGTCCAATTAATCACTGATATGGATAGCATATAGGCCTTCATAAACTCCTTTATGGAGCCCACTCTATTCAATGACCACACAAAGCACTACCAATGCTTTGTGGCCCTAGAACTAATTAAGTTTTGTAACACCCCATTACCGGACCAGTGTGTTAACGTTGATTATAATACTAAGCACAGTTACAATCACATCAGTTTATTTAAAACTAAAGAAAAACTTTTTCTTTTTATTACGTATGCGATTAAAACAACCGTAAAATGTAATGATACACACTGTTATCGTAACTGAAATCTAAATGCGAAAGTAATATTGTAAATGCCTAATTATCATACAACACTTATTTTAAGTTACTAGGAGATTCCCTTAAACCGACATAGTACAAAACTCATTTTTACAACTTTCCTAAAACTGAGTGTACTTCGGTTTTCTTAAAACTGGGCATTATCTACTCATCATTAAATTCTCATATTTTATTATGTTAAACTAGACTCTTCCACCTTTCCAGCAAGGTATCACACGCTTCATTTTAAGTTCTCTAGCTCCAATTATAACTGTTTGAAGTTAGACAAGCAAAGCTGTCAACCAACCTCAAATAGGGTACCTAATATCCTCCACAGTATCTACGATTCCCATCGCTCTACTCAACCAAATACTCTAAAATTTTTATACAGAATATTAGACACCTAGATCTTCAATTTGATATTTCATAAGCCCAATTCGAATAATAATTTAGGGAGATATAACTTTTGGAAGCTCATACCCGAAGCTGCCACTATACAGGCCTGGACTGGGTAGTCTTTACTTCTTTCGAACTACAAGATGCTCCACAACTTTAAATGGCACCAAATTTTGGGACAATATCACTGAAATCTTAAGATTTAAAATGAGGTATGGAATGTCTCATTTTAACATCTATGGAGGGAGATATGGTCTCCCAAATTTGGTCCAAAAACTGATCATTTTCTTAGAAATTTTGACGGCATCTCCTTTGTTTTATTAATTAATCCCACTTGCTCCGAGTGTGTTTTAATCCTCCAAATTGCACCTAATTGGCCAAGGGTGGAACACAAGGTTCAACATACCTTGGTTCTATTACAACCCATAATATTATTTACTCAATTCATCACTTAATCCTCAATTGTCATCCACCACTTAATCACTTTACATTTGAAACTCATTTCAATCACATAATCCAATTACATACATTTAACATAGTTGAACAATATCATAACCTAAAATAGGCCTATTTTCCGTCCATCACATACATTCATAATTAAATTACACAAGGTCCTTAATACATCATTTACATTTAATCCACTTACAAGTAAACTATGACATAATGATGACCAAAATAATACTACATACATCATCACTAGACTTAGCCTCAAAATGCTATATGAACAAAAACAAAGCATGGTATACATCACTCATGCAATACAACATGTTCATGCACTAAGTCTAGCATATCAAATAAAATCCAAAAATGCAAAATATGCTCAATGCCATGGTATACTCCAATAGCTCTTCTCCACATCAACCAGTGGGCCTCTTGCCCAATACTCCAGCACCGCTACATGAACCTGAAATATAATCTCATAACGCGGGGTGAGATATACGAATATATCTCAGTAACCCAAAGATTCCGGAGGATCACTTCGCCCAATGGCCCACTCACATGTAAAATGACAATAATACTATTATAAATAGAACATACAAATAACACGGCCCAATGGCTTACGACATACGACAATCTCAATTGGGTCCACATCCAAGAATATATCCCCGGGATATAATTCAAAGCACCCACAACTATAACTCCCGAGACATTCCTAGAGTGCTCCTCAACGGATCACAACTCTATGGCCCCTGGCTAACTGGAACTCCTCTCTCCAGTGGAAGTCATATGACAAATACGGTAAACTATCTATTGGCCAGAGATACGGTATAAACTCACATATACTAATCAACATACACATACATGATCATGTTATAACATATACTATTGCATCCAACAACTTCCAACCACTACCCCACTGGGCATGATGGAGCACACACGAGGATTAATCCTAGTACCAAGGGATTACATCTTTGAAGCTCCCAAGCTAGGTAGCTTTAACCACAAGTTATCTCAAGCTTCCACTTGTACAAGAAATTCTTACAACAAACGGTCATTTCAACAATCATTATGTGCAAAATGATAACCCAATTGGTTATCCAAACAATCACACAACCAAATGATTCAACACTTACCAAAATCCTTTCGGTCAAAGACCAAAGGCAATCCACAAGCTCCAAGCTTTAATCTTCTATGATTGTGCCTGAGGGAGGCAACCTACAATGAAGACACACATGATCATCAATCAACTTGTCCAACAAGTCACAATATAACACAACACATCACCCTCCCCCATATGTTCATAATTCAGCCATTATGGCCATAATACACAATTCATGTTGTTAATTTTATTCAATCGTTCCAATAGTTTCCTTAGCCATCCACAATACCAAACTTCCCCCACAATTACCCCACATGGATGAAGGTTATGTATCCAAGGGGCTAGGAAGTTTTCTTGCAATTTCAAGGTTGAAGGTGAATACTTAGGTCCACATTAGTTGATTCAAGCACCCACTAACTTAATTCATTAATCCAAATACCAACTTGCACAATTTTCCCCCTAAATCCTTCTAAATGGCCGAATGCATACCCTAAAGAAACCAAAGGATTTTTTTCTCACACCACATGCATTACACTCTCATACCATCCAATTATCAATGGTTCAAATCATTAACAACTCAATTACACAACTTTCTAACCACATATTTTCTCAAGAATCATGTTCATCTATGAAATTTTCCTAAGTTACATAAACTTTTTCACAAGAATTTTTATGAGTTCAATCATCATAAATCATCATTCTAAGCGATATTTATCAAATACACAATTTCATTTTAAGGTCTCCAACTATCCATACTACTACACATAAGCTTAGGTCTTCAAACTTTGATCTCAATGAAAATCCAACAAAAGGTATGGTAACTTACCCCAAATCAATGCTTAAGACTCCTATGCCCCAAGCAACCACTCAAGCAACAAGCCTCATTGGCTCCATCTTCCTCAAATTTTCGCAAGCTTTAAGAGAAGATATCTCAAAATATAGGGGTTTTCAAGAGGAATGGAGGTGTGGGTTGGATTCACTAGGTTGTTTACTTAAATTTTCATGTAAAATGCTAAGCCATTTAGTGAAGGAATTAGGAAGAACAAACTTGCCCTAAACACTAGTGATGGCCATGGGTTTGAGAGAGAATAGAGGAGGGAAAGAGATGGTTGAATAGTATTCTCACATGTGGCTTAAGTTACTTAAGTGAGGTGGGTCCCACATGCCATCTTACACAATTCAAATTAATTCAATGAATCCACTTAACCCACTAATCTCCAATTAACTCATAAGCTATCCATTAAATTCAAAATTCAACATTCACTAAAGTCCTTTAAATACCTTGAATAAATGAATCTGGAGTTTCCCGGTAATTCAATGAAATCACTGTTTTATCTCTATTTGTGCACCGTTGGCACGTTTCCCCAAAAACCCTAAAATCTATCAAATTATACCAATAATCATATTTTTTGGTTCTAAGTACCTTTTTCCAACATATATTCAATCTTAGAGCACTAATCTCACTTTGCACGTTTCTTGGTGCAACTGTACCATAATATTTCATATGATAAAAACATTATTCATCAATTTTTCAGAAACTTGCATAACCACTCAATTTGTCGTTCTGAATCCATTTCCAGTATTATTTTTTATCATTTGAGGCCTTATTCTATCATTTTACAATTTAGGGTTACATATTTGTTGATTTATCGTTTTACCCTTCTTACGTATTTTGACCGAGAACTTAGGATTTTCATTAATCATACCCTTTAACCCTCAATATAATTATTAATATATATTTCAAATATACGAGGTGTTATAAGTTTGATCGTGATATTTCCCACTACTTATAATAGCCTTAGCCTAATTAATTAGTAAATTACATGTAATTACGTAATTAAGCATGTATTAGTGGGTTGAAAGAAGTAAAATATCTAATTAAATGAGTAGGGTCACTTTTGAGGTAAAAAGTGTAGTCAGTGAAAATTATGGGGTAAAAATGTGTGTAAACAAAAGTACCCAGAATATAAAAGTAAAGCTAAAAATATTACTAGAAAAATATTATAGTCTATTGGGTAAAGTTTGGAAGTGAGCAGAGCTAACTAGATAGATAAGCTTTTACCCGGTGAAAATAACTTAAACCATGTAAGTGTAAAAAAACACAAGACACCTTCATTTCCTTTCTTCTTCTCCGTGCAACCACCGAGAGAGAAGGAGAGAAGCCATAGCCAAAGCTCCAAAAACCTAGCTCTTCCATTTCTCAACCAAATCTCTTGATTCTTGGATAAATCTTGCTTAAAATTGAGAGGCAAACACAACCCCTAGTTCATAATCTACCAAAAAGCCTTGTATTGGGAGAAAAATGGTGAGGAATGTGGCGCCCTAACTTGAGATTGGTGGATTTGGAGTGACCCATTGGTTGATTTAAAGTTTGGAATCTACTCCCTAAGTGATTCTAAGGCTAACCATGGTAAGAAATTCCATTTTCCTTGAGTTTTGGGATGTTGGGTATGTTAGGGTTCCATTTCATAAATATACATGTATGGTGGGGTAGTCTAGAGGTTGATTGAGGCTTAATTCCTTTGAAAAAGTTGTTTAGATGATTTAATCAGTAAAAATGAGTTTATATCGTCATTTGGGTATTCTTATATTTTCAAAAATTCAAGCTTGGTTTGTGATTTTCCTTACATTCCAAGCCATTGATTGATTGGTGATTAATTATGTCCATGTTACGGATAGGATTGAAGCAAGTGGATCGTCTTTGATTGACCAAGAACTGGTAGAAGCAATGGAACTTGACTTGGTTATTTGAGTGAATCAAGTGTTGGTGTGAATTTTGTAAGATTGTGGCTTGAATTTAAAGTTTGATTGGTTGCAAACTTGTTGGTGAAAAAAGTTGGATTGGAAGCATTGAGGTAAACCTTCGAACCTTGGGAATTGATCCCTTTATTGTTCCACCAAGCCAGAAATGGGTAGTGGTTGTTGATAGTGTATGTAAATGCAATAAAGTAGTTTAATGCTTTGTTATATGTATGTGTATGCATTAGATGTGACATAAGATGGTGTTTCCCTATGTTATGTATGTTGCATGACGATGCGTAATTCATACTTGGTAGTTTAGCTGACCAGTAGGACTATTTGCATCTGAATACCCTTAGGACAGCATGAGAGCTCAAGGGATGTCTCCTGGAGATGTTTGTTACACACTGCATGGATATGTATTTATTGTATTATTTATTGTTATTGCTATTACATTGTGAATGAACTATGGGGTGGAGAGATTCTCCAAGGGCCCCTGGTTTACTGTGATATATTCGTATATCTCACCCAGTGTCGCGGGGACCCCTTTTTCAGGTACAGATGTTGCAGGAGCCTCTGGTGAAAAGTGGTCGTATTTGAACTAGATGTCATATGTTGTTAGCCTGATGTTTTGAATTGCATGCTATTTAGGATTGTAGATGAATATGCCATTTACATTTTCACTTGTATATGTATATTTTGAGATCACATGATGTATTTTGGAGGACTTAGTGCATGATCATTGTGGTGGTGAATGCCTTGTTGTATATGGCTAATAGCTTTGATCATGTCCCCTTTTGTAGCTAAATCCTTTGGCATGTAATTGTCTTGAAGAATATTGTTGTAAATGATTCATTGTAATATTGATTGAATGTGAAACATGTTTTCTCATTTTGATTTTAATGATAAATTGATGAATATGGTGGGATATGAGTGCCACAATATGTGTTGAATCATTGTTGGCTATGTCTAGTTTATTAGGTATCTAATTCACCAAATGCTCCATCAAGTTAAGTGCCATTATGCAGATTGAACCTGTTTTTCTCTGTTGGAGCGCACTTAAGCGCTCTTTGTAGCCGAAAGATACCAATTCCCTCTGTCTGTACGCTCTTAAGCGCGTTGGAGCGTGCTTAAGCACTCTACCGGGCAAAAATAATGTTCAAAGAGCGCGCTTAGGCAAAAATAATGTTCAAACGCTTCTTAAGCAACGAAGTGAAGGTTACCAACCCACTAAGAAGATTATGATTAACATATGTGGCATAATCTCTCTATAAAGTAATACCACATGGAAAATCATCCCGCTGACTTATACATCTCTATACTCATTATTTAGCATAAGCAACGAGTTAAGAGACTCTTGATCTAGACCTATCCTACGCAAGATAATAAGCCCAACCAGTAAAAGGCCCAAAGGCTATTGCTTAATAAGGAAGGAAATATGGTCATCCCGTGTATCTTGATAATCCTGCAACCACTTGACACACATAACTAGCTGCTCAGTCAATTGCAACTACACGATATCTGCTGCTTAGAGCATCACTACCCCTAGAAGAGCATAAAGGTTGGGGATAGACACCTGCATGTCGCTACATCTACAAAGGCTTAGCCGGACTATAGGCATCTTGCCTAAAGAATAGCATGTGAAGATTGTCACTCCCCACTAATTGAAAAGAATACCATCATATCAAGACAGCATAACCAAGACGCTTACCTAGTATAAATACAGAAACATTAAGCCCACGTATGATCATCTTTCTATTAATACTTAACCCTTGAACACTTATTGACTTAAGCGTCGGAGTGTCTTGCAGGGTACCTCCTCATAGTCTCACTAAGCTACTCCAAAGACACCGATCCCAACCCAAGCATCTCGCGAAGCATCTCGCTGACCAACCAAACATCTAGTAGGCAGAGTATCAGCTCAAACCCAATCCTTTAGTAACAGGCTTCATTGTGTGTGATCTAGCCAAATAATTATTGAACTGATCGTAATTCAAATTATTTAGAAATAAAATGTTAAACTATAAGGGAACATTTGGTACAGGAGATATTTTTTTTACTTGAAAAAAAAAACATTTCCGAGAATATGATGAGAATTTTTTTTTTCTCGGATAAGTTACAAAAAGGTGTTCCGAAAAGTTAGGTTAATTTTACTGATGCTATGTTTGGTTGATTGTAAAATATTGATGGGAATCTGAACCAAAATGACAAAATTATCTATTTTTACACCTCTGCTAATATATTGTATAAGGGTATTTTTGTCCCAAAATATGAAAATTCATCCAATTAACGGGAAAAAAACAATATCATGAGTGAGATGAGATTATTTTGTTTCCATGTGTAGTTAAAAAACAGGAATGATGAAAAAAAAAATATCCCGAGACTTTTTTACTTTTACTCATATCAAATAGTAGAAAAAAATTTCCCACCTTCGTTTCCCAACATTTCAACTAAAAAACTTATATCAAACACCCCTTAAACCTTTAGCTATTTTTTGGAGATTCCCGCGTGATAAGAACAATGTGCTGAAGATTCCCGTGTGGAAAAACGAACACCGGAAAATATAAAAATAATAAAAAACAAAACAAAAACAAATAAACGAAGAAGACTTACCTGGATGTCATTAGATAAAACAATGGGCTGAAGATTCCCGTGTGGAAAAATGAACACCGGAAAATAAAAAATTAAAAAATAAAAAAACAAACGAAGACGACTTTCTGGCTGTCATTTTCACTAATGACTCAACTACTGACACACTTACAAAAATAAAATTAAAAAAATAATTCCAGAGAGAAAAATTCTAAGCATAAGTTGAATTCCGTGACCTTAAGCATTCTGCAAATCTTCTCCCTAACGATAAGATAGCAGATAGTAAAACAATTGTGAATTTGTGATCACATCTTGATTTCCAATCAATTCAATGGAAAATCCTCACATAGCAATAGTTCCCAGTCCTGGATTCACCCACCTTGTCCCAATCCTTGAATTCTCGAAGCGCTTTGTTAATCTCCACCCTGACTTTCATGTCACATGCATCATTCCCTCAGTTGGGTCAATCCCCACTTCATCAAAATCTTACCTTCAAACCCTTCCATCAACCATACACCCCATTTTTCTTCCGTCGGTCAACCTTGAACATGTGCCAGATGCTACTATCCTTGCAGTCCAAATTGAACTCTCAGTGACTCACTCCCTACCTTACATAAAAGAAGAATTAAAGTCCTTGTGTTCAAGAACTCGTGTTGTAGCCTTGGTTGTGGACATTTTTGCACTTCAAGCATTGGATTCTGCTAGGGAACTCAACCTCTTATCGTACGTATACCTCCCACAATCTGCTATGCTACTTTCTACATATTTCTATTCTTCAAAGCTAGATGAGATACTTTCTTCTGAGTCTAGAGACCCACAAACACTTATAAAGATTCCTGGTTGTGTACCACTTCATAGCAGAGATCTCCCTCTCCCATTTCAATTTCGATCCAACATAGGTTACAAGCAATTTCTTGAACGAGCTAAACGATTACATCTTCCTGATGGTATCTTTGTGAATAGCTTCCTTGAATTGGAATCAGAGACATTCGGAGCTGTGGAAGAACAGATCAGAGGGAAGCCCATGGTTTATCCTGTTGGGCCCATTATTCAGAGCGGGTCAATTGGTCAGGAAGATGGCTCAGAGTGTTTAACATGGTTGGATAATCAAGAACCCAAATATGTTCTGTATGTGTCATTTGGAAGTGGTGGCACACTTTCTCAAGACCAACTCAATGAATTAGCCTTTGGTTTGGAACTTAGTGGACAAAAATTTCTGTGGGTTATTAGAGTCCCAAGCGGTGTAGCCAGTGCTTGTTATCTTGCTGCTAGAACTGAGGACCCTTTACAATTCTTACCACAAGGTTTCTTGGAGAGAACTAAGAAGCAAGGATTGGTTGTTCCTTCTTGGGCACCCCAGATTCAAATACTTGGTCACAGTTCAACTGGTGGGTTCTTATCTCACTGTGGTTGGAACTCAGTCCTTGAAAGTGTTATGCAGGGTGTGCCAATAATCCCATGGCCACTCTTTGCTGAACAGAGTCTGAATGCAGCGTTGCTAACTGATGGTCTAAAAGTGGCACTTAGGCCAAAGGTTAACGACAATGGATTGACTAAGAGAGAAGAAATTGCTAAGGTAATAAGATGCTTGATGAAAGGTGAAGAAGGTATAGAAATTCGCCAAAGAATGGAACAGTTGAAGATTGCAGCTGCTAATGCGATAAAAGAAGATGGATCTTCCACAAAAACTCTCTCGGAGGTGGCTATGAATTTGAGAGCCATTTAGCATAACAAGAAGTCATAAACATATTTTCAATTTCTGAGATTCTGTTTCTGTTTCCTCCACTAAATTTCCTTAATCACGTTCCTGCTACTATGATCCCTTCTATATATTATTAGTTACTTCCCTTGAGTAAATGTCCAACAATCTTGAAGAGGTTCTGGTTCTGATGTATTTGTTTCTTCTGTTCTGTTATATTTTCAAGTGTAGTCTACAAACGATTGCGAGGATGCAAGGCTACCCAGGTCAGGGTATATATCATTAAGTGAAAACTTAAAGCGTTTCTTGTATATCCGTTATCAAAAGATAAATTGCTAACAAGTAAAAATCAAGCATAAACTTGTCAAACAAATGCTTTAATACTTGTTTGTTTCTGATTTTTATATGTAATCTTATTTTCTTACTTCATGTGTTACGTTCAATTTCCTAAAATGTAACGATTCCACACAACAAAAATTATTGTTCCATGTTTGAATTTGAAAAGGGTCATAGGACAAAAAAATAAAAACCGAACTTCGATCGTAACTATAATTGTCAACCCCCTCCTTCTTCATCTCCTCCATCATTATCATTCATGTCCTTGAATCCTTGTTTGGGGGGGTGCATTTTGACCGTTGTAATACAAAATCAGAGACCTTTCATTGCATTAATTTTTTTGATAAATTATTTACGCAAGTGAAATGCACATAAAAAATATGTATATTTAAGTCGCATGCATGACTTGTGTAAATTGCAAGATGCATGTTCTAATAGTGCGCATTTAAGTCATACATAGAGTGATGCACAATTTAAACACACACCAATGTATCTAATTAATAAATAGTTAGCTAAAAGAGTTAATTCGAAGAAATATATCTAATTTTGCATTATATTGGTCAAAAAACCTATTGAAGATATACACCGTTACCAACTCAAAATCCCTTGCTCTAAACTCGCAATCAAGCAACATGTAACATTCCAATGTTTTTTTTTTTAAATAAATAAATAATAGTAATGATTAAAAAAACTTGTGGTCTTGGAGGTGTCGTGGATGCACTCCCTCCAAGTTCAAGAAATTAATATAATATGTAATAATACAAAATTATATATATGTGGAAAAAAAAAATTTTAAAGCCACTTTAAATAAGGTTATTTACAGCTATCCATTTATAATTATGTACTCCTTGGAGTACATAGTTATAATATTAAAGTTTTTTTTTTCTCTCTTCACATCAGCAGACATAAATAATATGAATAATATCTCAAGTCTATCCTTTATAATTATGTACTCGCCATTTGAATACAAACAACTCAAGTTCATCCACAACCCGGCTTAGATAAACATGAATAATATCTCACATGTTGATTACTCAACTTGCCGAGATAGGGAGCAACGAGGTATTGTCCCTTAATGTAGGAATCCAGAAACTTCGAAAGCCAGAATATATGCACAAAGAAATCATAAGAACCTGGATATTCTCTGAAGAAACCCGGACAAATGCAAGTATTTCACCCCGGCAGCCCGGACACCCAAACTGCCTGGATGAGGGGCAACTCTTATGGACTCAAATATAAGGCCCATTATTTGACAAGCCCAACAAGGGGCAATCCACGATATTATTCAAATATAACTATGGAAGGATATACATCAAAGATATCAATCCTAATACGATATCATGACATATGGGCTTGGGTTGCAATTAGAGGCACTAAAGGTTCAGAATTGACTACCCGTAGGTAAACCCTATAAATAAGAGGTAAAACTTATAGGCTAAGAAATACGGACACGCTTTTTTTGAGAAAAAATGCGTGTTCGACACGTGTCCGACACGGACACGTTTGGACACGCGTCCGACACGTAGTTGACTTTTTAGGACACGTTGACTAGTGGGACACGCGAATTTGACCGTATCCGACACGCGGTCAACGTATGTGGACACGTTTTGCATTTTTTTTGTAAAAATAAAATAAAATTACAATTAAAAAAATACAAAAATTTTAAAAAAAAATCAGAAAGTCTGGGACACGTTGTGGTGTGTCTTCTTTTCGTTACTTCAAACCCCCCATCGTATAATCCGAAACAACCTTCTCTCTCTGTTTCTCGCTCTTAGGTTATCGCTATCTTCTTCTCTGCAATTTCGATCCTTCTCCGAATTTTTGTTGCTTCAATTCGCTCTGCAGATTACAATCTTCTCACTAGCGCCCAGCCGCCCACCATTTCACTGGTAATTTTTTAATTTTAATTTATTTTTTATTGCGATAGTTTCTCTCATCTATGTTTTTAAACCTTTGGTCTTTAGGGTTTCGTTATTCAAATTCCAAACAAGGTATCTGTTGAAATGTGGTTTTTCGGTAATTTTTGAATTTTGATATGTAAATTTTTTTAATGGGTTAGAAATCGAACAAAGCGTGAGGTTTTGTTATCTTTGTTATGTTTTTCTTCTTATGGTAATTGTTTGCTTGTTTTTTTAAGCAGGATGAGGGACTGAAGTTTAAGGGCAATAAAATTGTGCAATGGGTTTGCTTCTTGGGGATTTAAATATTGAATATGATGCCAAAACAAATACACAGAAATTATGCTAAATTGAAAATTGGGAATGAAATTATTCTAACTTCGCAACCCGGCTTGTTGGGTTTAATTTCAATCTCAACTTGGAAACTTCAATTATTCATGTTTGATTCTCATTTGAAAAGATTATGTGCAAGATTCTTTGTTCAGTTTAAATGGACTAGTCAACTTCAATAGGGGATTATTTAATTGGTTATATGACTTATTATGGATTCTTATATGTATTATATATAAATTATATTATATATTAAAAAATTTATTTAATATCAAAACGTGTCCCAACGTGTCCAAATATGACATTTTTTAGAATTAACGTGTCGGCGTGTCGTATCGTGTCGTGTCCCGTGTCCGTGTCCGTGCACCATAGCTTATAGGTACAAGACGTGTAAGATCCCGAGCGTTGACGAGGGCGGGGAGTGATCGTCAGTGCGAAAGGGCATGAACAAGGAGCCGCTCCTGACAGGCTTCCAACGGGAGGTTACATGCATGAATGAATCGAATCGACACTCGAAAGAGAGGGATTCTAAAGGTTGTGCAGGTGCGAGACTGCATAGTTTGGGATAGTTTATAAGAATTAATTAGTACTACCTACACTAACAAGATGCATCTGTTTTTCGGTAGCCCGGTAGGGAAGAACTCCACAGTTAAGCGTGCTTAACTTGGAGCAATTCTGGGATGGGTGACCTTCTGGGAAGTTTTCCCGGGAAGTGTGCGAGTGAGAAAAAAGCACACAGAAAAGTCTCGTGTTAGTATGTGGGGATAGTCATTGATTCTTGAAGCAGCCGGGCATATCAAGTGGTATCAGAGCATGGCCTCTCTTCCAGTACGGTGTGGTTCGAGGACGAACCATGCGGAAGCCAGTGGGCATGTAACATCCCGAGCATTGACGAGGACGGGGAGTGATCGCTGGTGCGAAAGGGCATGGACAAGGAGCGGCTCCTGACAGGCTTCCAGCGGGAGGTTAGATGCATGAATGAATCGAATCGACACTCGAAAGAGAGGGATTCCAAAGGCTGTGCAGGTGCGAGACTGCACAGTTTGGGATAGTTTATAAGAATTAATTGGTACTACTTATACTAACAAGATGCATCTGTTTTTCGGTAGCCCGGTACGGAAGAACTCCGCAGTTAAGCGTGCTTGACTTGGAGCAATTCTGGGATGGGTGACCTCCTGAGAAGTTTTCCCGGGAAGTGTGCGAGTGAGGAAAAAACACACTGAAAAGTCTCGTGTTAGTATGTGGGGATAGTCATTGATTCTTGAAGCGGTCGGGCGTTACAAGACGCTCTCTCTCTCTCTTACTGTTATGTTATCACTGTGTGCACACACACACACACACACACTCCCTTTGGCAAAGTCGTTTACAGTTCTTTAGTGCACAGTGATATGCTTGACTCAAGGGTATCTCATCCATATATACCTTGGAGAGGGCACCTAAATCCAATATTAACATACTAGTCCATTGGGCTAGACATCTCTGTCTCTAAGACAGAACAACATGAATTCAAACATTTCCAACCTAGCAGTCATGAATCAATGAATCAATTGTATTTTCATTTTTTAGCACATGTGATATCAAGCAATCACACAACATAATTAACCTTTATCAACCAGCCTTAAAACAGATTTGTTATTCCATTTCATTCAAGAGTTGTTATTACTTATTACAACTTATGGAGGCAGATTACTATAGTTTAACACTGACCGAGCAAAATATTATTGAGAGATGTATGACAGATTCAATTTTTAGTAATTCACAACCAATCAATTACGCAACCAACCAGTCGTTTAGACCCTAAGTTTAAATTTCCATCCAGTCCCGAAATTAATGAAGGGACGTGAAAACGAGTAGGTAGGGATGTCAATAATTTAACTAGAACTGATTTATCTATCTCTAGTCAAATTGGACAATTTTGACTTTAAGGCTATAGTTCTAGAAAACAAAAATCACTCAAGACAGAATTAGCAATCACCATGGTTTAAGTAAATATAGGACTAAAAAGAGGTACCAATTATTAAGCAAAACAACCAATGGCTTATATGAAATGCCAACCTTGAGAATGCATAAAGGATGCTGTATACCAAAAAATTATGATTGAAAATTGAAGAGAACAAGGAAACTATTTTGAATTACCCATTGAACCTGATATAGAAAGACAGACGGAATTCAATATTTGAATCGCAGTAAACAGTATAGCAGTACTGTTGAAATATAAAGAAAACAAGACTAAACAGATGGTTATGTCAAGATAAAGTTCTAACTCAAATTTAGTTGAAAAAGTTTAATGTCAATCAAAGTTACAAGCTAATGCGAAATGATAAAGTGGGATGACCTGTTATAATCTTTAAAAGGTCGAACTTTACTCTGCACCACACGATCTTAACAAGAGCATTACAAGATGATGCGCCATATGTAAACCTCATTAGATAATAAATATACTCGATATTTTACAAGACAGCACTAAGCAATGTTGTTAAAACGTAGAGTTTATGCAGAAACGGTAGGGATGAGCAAAAACGTAAAATAAAAAACGTAAACGAAACGTAAGAGTTTACTACGTACTAAAAATACATATATAAAAATAAATATATCCAACATATATTACACCAATACATAAGTCATCATAAATTTAAGTCCAAATACTAAAGTAAATAAAAATTAAGTTCAAACTCAGTCATCGTAATACAAATTAAAATCCAAACATTAATTAGATGAAATAATCCAATATTTAACATTATCAAA